GAGCAGGAGAAAGCAGAGAAAGTGACAAAGCGAGAGTCTGCTCTGCAGGATGTTGAGAGCAGCACCAAACAGCTCCGAGAACTCCTGCAGCAGAACACCATCACCGGAGCGACGCTACAGCCCAGCGACGACATGAAGGTCATTGCACATCACACACATCACACACATCACACCAGAGATGGCAATAGTACTCACATCCTTTACTCAAGTAGAAGTACAGACACTCATGTTTAAATACTCTGGTAAAATTAGACGTACTGACTAAACTTCTTTACTCAAGTCAAAGTAAAGAAGTATGGGCTTTGAAATGTCCTTCAGTAAAAAGTACCCATAACTAGCAGCTGTTTTAAAGAGTACCTGACCTCCCTTTATATTAATAGAACAATAATGTCATTGTTAGCTAATGAATGTTTCCATGCTGAACAACAGCAACATGACAACGTTTTCATTGGTCCCTCTTCTTTAGAGAAGACCAGGAAATGATGGATACACGGATCGTGTTCAAATCAATAGGCACGCAATGACTCTAAATAATAATGATCAGGCCACCAAACACACATTCAAACTAAAGGAACCAGCCTGTTTGGAAAATGAGAGAAGTAGAAAGTACAGGTATTTGTGTTCAACATGGAAGAAGTAGTCAGAAAAAGAAGTAGTGGAGTAAAGTACTGATGCCAGAAAAATGTACTTAAGTATAGTAAAAAAGTATTTGTACGACACTACTTCCCACCCCTGCTTAATAATCATCTTACACAGAGACACAGATATAAAGCAGCTGTTCAGGGCAGACCACAAAAGCTAGATTGGTTGCGAGTCCTGGTTCTGTGTCGCCCTCTACTGGCTGTTTACTTTGAGAGTTCACACACCAACTTCGCTGAAAATGTAAAATCACAAAACACTGATTTGTGATTTTCTGGTCAAAAGTTGCTTCACTTTTAAATTAAATAAATGCTGTTGTAACAAGAGTTATATGTGACCCTGATAGCACCGTATTGAATGTAATTTTCTACGTAAGAGCTTATACTTCGTTCTTTTTTTAATAAGCTTTATACAAGTACACCTGTTGTCATATTTAATGAGATCATGACCCTCAAGAAATATAAAAAGATCCTCAACAAAACCTCAGTGAAGTAATTTACTTGATTGAATTATTTAGTATTTTAATATTAAATCAACTTTCTTTAATAAATGTGCCTCACATTTTTGCAAATTTTTGACCACAGTAGAAAACAATATATTTATATATAATTAGTTGTCGGATACATTTTTTTTTTTTTTTTAAAGTGCTTGAATGATTTAATGTTGGAATGTTTATGGACTAAAATCAAAGTTATTTTTATATATTATTCCTACATTGATATAGACTATCAAAATAATATATATAAGAATAATACTGTCTGGGCCCATTAAACCTCCAGATATGTTCTCAGAGGATCACATGTGTCCTCTCACTGTGGAGGATAATGTGTTTGTGTGGAAGTGTAACTCATCATTCGTCCCTTCAGGCCCTGTATGAGCGCTGCGACCGGCTGAGGCCCAGCTTGTTCCGCCTGGCCAGCGAAACGATGGACGAGGACGTAGCTCTGCTGCAGATCCTGGCGGCTAACGACGAGCTAACACTTGTAGTAAACGATTACAAAAACAAAGTGGGGAAGAGAGAGTGTAACGGCAGAAGAGAAAGAAGCAGAAGTGAGGACGAAGTGGAGCGGAATAATAATGGTAGGCCTGATTTGTTCCCCTTTTTTCATTGTTTCCGTCCCTGTGGATATAAGTTTGACCTTGTGTTTGGCACTGCTTTGTATTTGAACGGGTTCCCTCTTGTTCCTCCAGCTCCAAAGAGTCCCAGAGAGATTAAAAGCTACCACCTCATCGACCTGTCAGCACTGGACTCTCCACAGACGCACAGAAAAGCTGATTCACTGCCATCTTTTGAATCATCTTCTCCCATGTGTCCCTCTTTCCTGGAAAGTAGCTTTAACTCAGACGCTGACCAGGACTTCAATGAGCCAGGTAGACCTGCAGCTTGCTCCTAGTGCAAAATAATGTTATTACTGGCTGTTACTTTTCAAGTTTCAAGGCTCTTATTGTCATGTGTACATAGCTACAGTGTAGATATGTACACATGACAATCTTAGGTCACAGGCTACTCCAACAGTGCAACACAATAAAACAGATAGCATAGTTAAAATAGTGCAAGTAATACTGCTTATATATATATATAATTTACTTTGATAATGCTGCTTTTTATGTTTTTTACCTTGGATGTGTTCTTATCTCTTATGACGTAACAATGTAAATGTTCCCGCTGTGAGGCAAATATATCTTTGTGATGTTGTTCTGTCCTGTGATTACAGAGTTAAAAAATAATCGCGTCTCAAAACAAGAGACTTCACGGTCGTACTCTGAAGATCTGCTGCAGGTGAGGCTCCGATGTTACGTTAAAGAGTTTAACTGAGATTTTATTTCATGTGTTTAACACCGTTAATTCTTCTTGTTTCAGCTAAACGGAGAGTTTCAGATGAATCACGCTGAGCAGAACGGAGGCAGAGGCGTCGTTCTGAGAGCCCGTGGATGTGGGGGCAGCAGCGCGACATCGAATGGGACGAATATCTGGTAAAGATGGAGAAAAGAAATACACTTTTGGAGATACAGTAATGCTTTGGTTGTGGCGTACTGTATGTATATTTATATGGAAAAGTAAAAAATCTACTGATATAGTTCACACTCTAATCCTAATTGTAATTTCGATAATGTGCTGGTGAATAATTTGTATTTAAATGATTATGGGAGGATAGAAAGTGAAAATACTCTGGGTATAAATACGTAAAAATACACAATATAAATCCTTCACATAAAATAATGTATAGTAGGACTGTCCAAATCAAGTCAAGACACTAAAAATATAATCCCAGATAACGAGGGAAAGTCAAAGATATATTCTGTAACATAATTACAACATGTTATACTATTATATTTTTATTTAAAATAATGACCTTTTCCAAATGTTAATGTAGATACTTAGTTGTATCCTTATCACGATTATTTGTGTTGTGCATTAATGTTAATACATACATACAAGTAACTAAGTACATTTACTCAAGTACTGTACTTAAGTACAATTTTGAGATACTTGTACGAGTAATTCCATTTTATGCTACTTTGTACTTCGACTCCACTACAATTATTTAATACCTTAAGTTACTACAGTAGCTGCACTTTTACCAGCTTTGATAACACTTTAATTATCAATAATTATAATCAAAACATATATATTATTCTGAAATGGGCCAATCTTCACAATGACTACTTTTGGTACTTTAAGTATATTTTGATGCTAATACTTTAGTACTTTTACTTGAGCAACATTTTGAATGCAGGACTTTTACTTGCAACAGAGTATTCCTACACTCTGGTACTAATACTTAATTTAAGTACACAATCTGAGTACTTCTCTTACCACTGCTCAAATGCCACCTTTGTTATATCCTAAACAAATGTTTGACGATGTCTTCTTTCTTCAGGTCGCTCCCTCAGCATCAACAGTTCACAGAGTCAGGATCACTGTCCGAAAATCAGAAACAACTCAGCGAAATGTCGGGATGTCCAGAAAAAAAGGAGAGCTTGTTGACACCGCGACTATTAAAAAACATCTTTGTTCCCGTTCACACCATCAAACCCAGTGAGTTCATAAGGAGAAACAGCTGTGTTACTCTGTGTGTTACAGTAATGTTTTCCTACTCCGTACGATTTCTCTGTTACGTGTTCATTTACTTCTGAATTTACCATCCACTGTTATTTTCTTATTTTTTGTAGGTAATCTTGAGCCGATCACTGTGTATGATCATGGCGGCGTCCACGTTTCTCTACATTTTGCCAGAGACTCTCCTCTGGGTTATCCTGGTGTCGCCGTGGTCGTCTCCTCCACCGTGAACACATCTGCCCTCCAAGTTAAAGACTTCCTGTTTCAAGCTGCTGTTCCAAAGGTAGAAAACATAATCTCTTAAAAAAAGGAAATACAATATTACTGTTTTTTTTTTTTGTGTGTGTGATCGAGTATCATCAATATCAGACAGAAGTACAGATTGTTATTGCAGATTTAAACTTGTAAAACGTTGTGAAAGTTTAAGCTAAGTTGTTGTTTCAAAACAACCTTTTGAACATGAGGAGCAAGTGGGAATTCAAGCTCATTTTGCACCATCTGATTTATGATTGACGTGTTTGACGTGTCTGAATCACATTTATTGCAAAGTATGTTTTTACATACAAATAAGTTTTCACAACTCCTGGAAAAGTTAAGAATCACAAAATAGTCTTACCGTGAAATTCATGTTAAAACTAGAGACCATACCCATTATTTAACTTAGCTCAACTTTGTTGGTTTTTATACATCCTCTAGATTTAGCAATGACATTTAATTGTACATTTTTCTAATTGTTTGTTTATTTTCATATTTTCATATTTAGTCTGTTATACTGTTGTGTGTTTGTCTAATTGTAAAATAACCCATGACGATATCAGATTTAATGGGGGGGGGGGCGGTGAAGCGATTTCTTGCTTCTCCGCGCTCTGTACTGTGTGACGATGGAACCATTGGACTTGTGGTAGTTATCTAATTGTCGTTTACTTGAAACACAAGTACTCAGGTGTCACTGAAAATTTTTTTATTGTTAGGTTTGTCAATTAAAAAGCCAGGTTCACCTGCAATCTTTACACGCTTTTAACATATATTCTTGGTATTCCGCTGACGTCCGTTGGGACTAGGATCACTACATACCTCTATACGGACTTTAACAACTATGCATATCATATGTACTTGTATAGTGTAGCTTAATTTCTTATCTTCTTTCTCATATAACTGATTTTATAGTCTACTATCTGTTTAAGTATAGTGAACTTACGAACCCACGATAACGATTGAGATTGAATACTCTGTTCTACACACACACAAGGATCTTAATGATAGGGACACCCCTGGATTAGACAAGTGTGTCAGTGCACCCCCTGAGCGGAGGTGGGAATACCCCTTATTACCTTCCAGGGTATTCCCCTTATTAATCAAATCCCAGTTCTGAACCAATCACAATCCCATTCCCAATCCGTACACATCCAATACCAATGCGCATATCGTGCCTGATCAAGCACACACCGCACGCACGCCGCACACACACACTACACACACACACACACACGCCCACCACGCACACACCACACACACACCCCAAATTACATAAGTTGGCGGGACAGATTGAGTGGAAGACTCCAATTAGGTCGTCCTCCTGGACTCTCTGCCGTCCCACCTCCGTCGTCTCCCAACATGCCTCCTTCCACTCAGTGTCTCCCGGACTCCCTCCCCCCGACTTGAAGTGATTGTACCAGACTCTCTCCCTTATTACTGTTAATATACCGTATGAGGTGAGGATTTACCTTGTTGTCGGAGGTGTCGAATTTGGGCGATTTCTAGGTCGCTTCTTTCACAGCTACACCTTACACGTGATTGCGTCAACAAGTACTCTCCTTGTAGACTGCACCCACAGGAGGTCGTCCCCGCAGTCA